CGGGCTGGTGGCGGCGGCCGAGCCGGCGCTCTTCACGGTGGGGCTGCGCAGCGGCGAGGTGCGGACGGCGCGCGCCCTGGCCGACGGCGACGGCGACGGCGCCCGGCACCGCCTGCTCGCCGTGGTGAAGGACAACGGGCAGCCGCCGCTGTCGGCCACGGCCACGCTGCAGGTGGTGCTGGCCGAGAGCGCGCGCGAGGCGCTTCCCGAGCTGGCCGAGGCCGAGGCCGAGGCGGCCGGGGCCTCGGACTATTGGTCTGGCTTGAACATGATTTTGGTTATCGCTCTCGCTTTGGTGTCATTTCTCTTCCTTGTTACAGCGATTCTGGTTTTAAGTTTGAAACACCAGAGAGCTGGGAGCTCCCCGGCTCTGAGGTCCTGCAGCAAGGAGTTTTATTCCAGTCTCGGCCCTACGTTTTCGTGCAACTACAGCAACGGGACCCTGCCGGTACCATATTCCTACGAGGTGTGCGTCGCCGCGGAGTCGGGCCAGAAGGACTTCGTCTTCCTCAGACCGGGCCAAGCGGCTTTCACCGAGAGTCTCCTCTCCGCTGAGGACTCCGGCATCGGGAGCGAGTCTGGCAGGGGAAACCTTAGCCCTGACAGCCAGGCCCAGGTAAGACGTCTTGCTTTACTACAGCTCACGCTATAGTACAGGATAGTAGTTTAGCTTCCCCGCAGTCCTGCCGCACCTGAAGTGGCTTTTAATATGCCTTTGCTTTACCAGATATGCTGCACTTTTAACAGGTTAATAGGGAAAATCGCATAAATCTCTTAAAGCTCAATCTGATCAATATAATTTGTATTAAAATACTAGAGAAGTGCCCTGTCCACATGTAGGAGTCTCTGCTTCCCATGTGGAAAACATGTTAATAGATGTCTTTATAGTCTGAGTACTTTTTGGTTAATAATCTGCTTCTTTGTATTTTATTGGAGACGTTTTTGGTCTGGGAAAATCCAGTTCCAGATCCTGTTCCATCTACTGGGCACTTAGCTGGGATCCTTTTCCATCTTGCCCAGGTCCTTGAAAAAAAACTGTGAAGATTATTGGCTCTTCTTTTGGCTACTTTTTGTGACCTGTCTTATTTTTGACTAAGTGTATGATGGGTCTAGTAAAATAAGTTTCTTTTTTTTTTTTAATGGACATTAACAGGGTAGAACAGGATCACAGTCTGGTACCTAAATACATTTGGGCACCTTATAGGTCAATCAAGATTAGGCCTCCAATATCTTCCTTCCAGTGTTGGAAGTTCTGAGGTCATAAACTAATTGGACATAAAAGGAATTTTAAAAGGATTATACAATTATTTCTAATATTTTGGTTTCCAAATTGAGGCACATCATATGAGGGCTTAACATCTCCTGATGAGGTATTTCCATAATTTACCCTGTCAAGTTACTCCCTTTCTTTAAATATCCTTTTAACTCTTAGCATTTTTCTAATATCTAACTGGAGAGTGCTCTTGGCAATTTTTCATCTTTGCTCGGCATGCTGCACTTCTATGGTAACTAGTTACATCACTTCCCTTTTTGGTAACATATAGTTTATTTTTGGTGTATCATCTGCTCCACTTGGAGGTTAATCAAGGCCTGTCTCTCTTACAAGTGTGTTGTTTTATCCAATGCAGTTTTTAATACAGTGTCTGTGGAAGATTTTTGAGACCAAAATCTTTTCATCTTGAACCCACATAACAGAAGAAGAAATGTGCTCTTACGTTGTCTCCAACAGTGTGTTTTAGCCATGAAATATGGGGCAAAGGGGTAGTTTGGCATATGGGATTAGAAAAGTAGTATTGTCATTATGCCTCTGTCAGGAGTTCCCTTGGTTCTTGATTCTGCCAACAAATTTGTCAAGTGTGGTGATGGCTTTCCTGAAAATGTTAAAAAAAATAGAGATGTCATATAGAATTCCACTGATTCATTCTGAAAATAGTATTTTAGTCCTGGCTGGTAAGAAATATTTATTAACTCTGTGTTAGCTATTTTGCGTGGAAGATAGTATAAACATATCCTCTTTGTCCTTATGCAGTTAATTAATTAAAAATATTTATGTTTGAAAACCTGTTCACAATGGGATAGATACTGGGTGAAGCAAACTGGCCCAGTAGGTTGTCCAGGAGATTAAGTGATGAGTAGGGATCCTGGTTTTCTCTTATAAAAAAAA